TGGGAGAAAGTAGTGGCCAGCGATGGACAATACTTTCAATCATAAATGTATAACCAGTTTTTTACAATAAAGCCTCGAATTTCGGAAAAAAATGGCGGAAGCAAAGTTGTACATCTAATAATAAAATATTTTTTAATAAAAATTTCGAATTATTTAAAAATAAATTTTTAAAAATGAAAATAAGAGAAACAATCTCCAATAACTGATTGATCTTAACAAATGATTGATCTTAACAAATGTTATTTAGGACATGATTCTGAACAACATTCAAGAGATTTTAATCGTCAGGCATCTTGCTAATGCCAGCGGTACTGCAACTTTTAAGCCTTATAACTCGAAAAATACTTCATGAAAAAATATTAAGACAGTCTCTGACACACAACTAGATGAAAAAATCCTATCCATTCTCCCATATGTCAAAGGAACAATAGATCGGATCGGCAGGATATTAAACAAATACAATATCCGAACTACCTTTAAATCACCCAAAAAGATAGGGCAAATCTTAAGAAATCCTAAAGATCAAAGTTCTTCACTCAGTTCCGCAGAAGTATACAAAATATCTATTCCTGTGGACAAATATACATTGGAGAAACCGGGAGAATGATCAATCTATAGAGAACACTAATGATGTCAAGTTAAAACACGCAATCAGCATTATCAGAACACAACATCGAAATAAGACATTAAATATTATTTAAGAAAACGATCACAATAATCAATATTACATCATACTTTCCAAAAAAGTATAGAGAAGTTATTAGAGATCCAAAAACACCCTAACAGTTTAAATAGAAATAATGGCTACCACATAAATAAAATATGGAAAAGCATTCTCCCGGTTATTGAAGACCGATCAATTTCCTCCACCTCTCCCCTAATACATAGTTTTATATATACATATTTTCACTTTACATATACATATTTTCACTTAAATTAATTTAATTAATTAAAATTGCAGCGGCAGTTGAGAGAAAAAAGGAAGACCAGTGACCCAAATCTGTCCAAAACAAAGTGAGTAGTTTTATCGTATGAATGTTTATAGTATTGTTAAAAGTGACTATGAATAGAGGATTTTCAAATTTATACAGTATTGCGTGCGATAGTTTTTATTACAACTATATTAGATCATAATGTCAGAAGCAAAAAATTATATAAGTTTTTGCACATGTCAAAATGTATTAATTCTTTACTATTCTATGATATATATCAATGGTACAGTCCTAAAAATAAATGTGCCCAGGCGGTGATTTGAACAAAATAAGGGGAAGAGGATTCGTATTAATGAAGTGCTCAATATTTTATTACTGACTTAGGATAGAGCGATGCTTTTTCGTCCATTCTCCCGCTAATATTTATGTTACTTGATGAGTTTTACTTCGTTTGATAAAATAACTGCAGTTTGTTTAATAGTAAATTGCTCACAAGATGATACAATAGTAATACAATCTGTAACTCGTTAATGCATGTAAATCTTGCAATGCTCGCAAAGGCTTCCCTGGCGAAAATACGGAATTTTATAAAACGTTGATAATCGTTCGATTTTTTAAGAGTTATACGCTTTCAAACTTTATAAAAACGCTTGCAGAACACCATGGGGTTTTCAGAACGCTTATGACTACAGTATATATTGTTTCATGAAAGTTCTGTAATGCTAAAGCAACGCTTTACAAAGATGCTCAGTAAATATTGATGTACCTTCGTGCAGATAATTCACTATCAGATTTTTCAAACATTTAGCAAACGCTTTTCTCAATACTGTGAGACAAGCATTTTTCTTTAACAACGTTTAACAAATGCTGTTTCAATGTGACGAATTATTGAATCTTAGTAAACGTTTTGTGTTTATACAAACGGTTAAAAACGTCCAAAAAATGGTTTCTTCAACTCCATAACATAAACGTTTTTTCTTCGTTTAGCCTTCTTCTACATACCTAATTTTCAAGCAGTGCGCAACATCGCCACTAGGGGATACAGAGAAATTCAATTTCTCACATTTAAAAAACATCGAATAGGATAAAAGGTGCAGTACGATGAAATTTTTCAGTGAAAAATTTTGTACCTTTTTTTTTTAATAAAATATCTGAGTTTAGCAGACTTAACACTTGAACGTTTATGTAAACGTCAAACTTTCGTGAAACTTGTTATTTTCAGAGAATGGTTTCTCTGAAAAGCTGCAGCGTTGCAATTTCCATTTTACGAATACTCTACTGACCGTTTCTAAATTCTCAACAAATTCTTGCAAACGCTCATGTAAACATTAAACAAATATTCAACATGAAACGCTTTATGAACACTCTACTGACTGTTTCTAAATTCTCAACGAACTTTCGCAAACATGTAAACTTCTCATTTTCGTCAGGGTTCTTGTCGAATCTAATCGGAAATGAACAATGACTCTCGAAGAAAAACAACGACTTGCTTTCAAAGAAAAGAATTACTTTCTTCGACAGAAAGATCTAGAACTTTGCTTACGATTATCTCGAAATAACCTTAGCGATATATCGATTAATGTCTGCAATTACAATATACTAACATTCTCTCTTAATCGTAGACTGTGAAATCAAATTTACAAATACATTCTAATACAAATTAATGAATTCTTAATTCTAATCATACACGCACGCGCACACTGTAAACAATGTGTACGAATTTAGACCAATAAAAATCAATTAAATTAATTGTCTCTGTTACAAATATTTTAACGTTAACCGTGTAAGATACTAGTATCTGGACATATACTTATGGGATCGGGATATTTACACAAAATTTATTATTATTAATCTCAAATACTTTTATTATTATATTATAACTTAATTGTATTTAAAAATTATAATTATAATTTAATTGTAAT